ATCCTTTAATGTGACGATTTTGTTTCATTGGGTGCCTGGTAAGAGGATAGGATTCTGTCGGCTAACTTTTGAGCTCACTAACTATATCAATTCTGAAGCAAATAGCATAAAATTATTTGTTTAACTGGCAGTACGCCAATTATTGCTAATCTTACTGGTTAGAAATTAGTTCAAAAAGGATTTCAAATTTAAGGTCGGCATAAATTGCATCACTTAGATTTTAAAATATTGCAAAATCGTTTTTATGGACGATAACAAAACTTTTTTCAAAACAAAAAACAAAAAAACAGAGAACATTGAATGAATAATGTAAGGTGAGATTTTAAAATCCCTTGTGGAGTGACTGGTGCATTTGCCATTCAGCACTTTTATTTTCCTGGCACTTGGTCAACTTGACAAATAAAACAGATTGCTTTGTTCACGACATTGATCTCACTTAAATCACTTCCAGTGCCTTTTAGATTCGTTTGCTCAGGCGTGTTCGCTTTCGACTTAGTAGGCAACACTTTGAAGTTTGGAAACAGTGGAATTTCCTTGATAAACTATCAAATCCACTTTCATATCTGATTAGTTGGTATTTCGTCAATATTTTTAACTTGCCTCGGAATTAATTAGCTATTTGATGAATTCCAATTTATTTTAAATCACACCTCGAAGTGATCTTGACTTTGAAGGGGTGCATTGTGAACAGTTTTCTCAGGGTGTTAAAGCAAATCAGGTAGCACAAGATATACAAATGAAGGGCGTTGACACTTCGTGTTCCAAATGAGTTAGGTTCCTTGGCGCTGTCTGTCCTGCTAAGGTGAGTGATGTGTGAAATTCCTTCCTTGAAAGAACCAACAAGTGTTAATTTAAAGCAAATTCTACTGAAAAGGTTTCAGTAGCATCCTGCAAATTCATTTTCATATAAACGCGCTGTATTATTAAATTGGAAGCAGAACAAATTGAGTTCAATTAGATAGCTCATACTCTAAGACGGCAGAAAATCGTTCAACTTATAGAAAGTCGACTTATCATATCATAATAATTAAGAGTGACACCTACTTCACTAATATCAGCTGGTTTTAATTTATGTTACAGATTCCGTAAATATATCCATTCATTGAGGGAAGAAGAAGATCATGATGAAGTAAGAAAATATGAGCTTTCTTTGCTATTGCCAAAACTTGTTTCAATTTGTCTCAAACTATGTAGTGCATGACCTATTTCACATTCATTTTCAATAATAATGAGAAAAAAAATAGATAATTAACATAAAGTTTGTAGAGAGAAAGTGCTAGATATTTTTACTCTTTAATACGTTCTTCCCCTGTCATCCAAGCAGAAATTCTTTGTCAGATTTTCTGGAAGTTCTTCGGTTGGTTAGCTATGCCTCATGACAGCTCAAATGTGCATTCAGAAGGGTTTTAAGTTGTTTGACACAAATTCAGCCATCTGTCCATTTACTATACCTCTGAAGGAATTCTACATTCACCATCTATTTCATGGTAAGATTTCATCTCCCTCTCTTTTCGACAGTTCTCACTTACTAATCAGTTTTTCGCTCCATTGACAGTTGCAGAAACTTACTCCGGGTGCTTCTTCCTTTTCGTTTCCTTTCTCCAAATTAGTTTATGAGATACTTTTAAGTGAATTTTTGTAAGATTACCAGGTTCAATGACCACGAAATCGTGGAAGTCATTGTTGTACAGAAGGAGTGAATGCTGCAGGGTCACCAAATTGAAGAAATTAATGAAACTCAACTCGACTGTTGAACCGAGGACTGTGGTTAGCAGTCAGCTATAGCAAATAACGATTTCAAGAAGTAAAGCACAGAAAGCGGAGTGGACGGATAAATCAGGGTGACGGTGGCATGTGTGTGCAGATAAATGATTAATGTGTGTGTTTGTGGAAATGCATTGACGGTTTATACGAGTCTTAACTAAATAAAGATAATCCATACATTTGCTTAGATAGGAGAGATAGAGGGTTTGGTTTTATAGATAAATATGACCAATTCGTTTTCGCAAAGACTTTCTTGTGTTTTCAAACTTTTGTGACTTTGATATTGCCTCCCTTTTGTGAAACCCGAAGTCAACTAAAGGGCTAATGGCAACTACCCTAGAGCCTGCCATTTGATGTAAGTAAATAAATCAATTTAATTTAAGTTAACTCAGTACTGACTTATATCAGAATTTCATTATTTAAATGGGAAAAAATTACAATGTCTATTGAAGCTTACAATTTTAATTTCATTAATTGTGTATGTATGACTAAATTACTAAGTCTTGGTAACCCTCGTAGAGGTCTAACTATCTGTAGAACATAGAACGCATAGAGTGACGTGCGATTATTGCATCTATAGCTAATTGCGAAACACACATCTGCATTGGAATAATTTGAAACGCAAGTTAATTGATAAGGCTTCCCACACACGATGAATCTGCACAAAGCGATCGACAGCACGATCTTCACTGCTCGGTATATTCTAGAGCGCTAGATACCTTCGTTTGGTCTTGATAGCACCGTGAGCTCCATAATTGCAACGAGTTTAACTCATCTTCAAACTTACATGTTGTTTTTTATATAGTCGATTGTTGCCATTTAAATATTATTATTTTAAATAAGAGAATAAGTATCATGCGAAATTGTTACAATAGTAATTAAAGAGTCTATAAAATATTTAAATTCGGTCGGTCAGTGTTTGCGTCAACGGATCGAATCATTTACAAATTAAATCGTGTAGTTTAAAGTTTTAGATGTTACTTCTGCGGAAGAGGCTTTTACTGCATAGCATTCCTGGATAAGGTCTGGTTAACAAATTGAGGTAAAACGTTTCTTAAACATTTATTTATTTATATCAAATGGCAGGCTTTATGATAGTTATCATTAGCCCTTTAGTTGACTTCAAGCTTCCCAGAGGGAGAGGAACATCAAATCGAAAAAAAGTCGAGAGGGGAGGGTGAATAGAAGAGTGTTTTAAAGATGTAAAATAGACAGACACAAAGGTAGAAAAAGGTGAGGTGAATACAGTAGAAGTGGTCGACAATGACATTCAGTGGGGTGATGGTAGTTTGAAGTGAGAAGTCAACTGCCGGTTTATAGACTTTTTTGCCGCATGGGTATACGTTGCCCAGGGTGCACCACGTGGAGGTAAGTCTATCGCACACCCCACGTTTCTTAAACATGAACAATTTAAACCGTTAGCACTCTAGATTGAAGCATACGACAACGATGATTGGACAAAAGGTAGACCTTCACAAAATATTCGCTCTCAGGCCCTTTGAAAAACTAGCAGAGATGAGATTAAAATAGGAAATCAGCCAATCAGTTATATTTTAACCATCACGCAACTAAATACATCACAAGTAGTTAAATAATTTCATCTTAACAGCATGATAAAAAATAAAACACCTTAGCTTTTGCCCATATGTCGAAAGCAAACGCATTTTAATCACTTTATCAATAAAATATGCATACAATGGAAGGTACAGAACGTCTGCGACCCACTACCTTTATCCACTTTTTGCCATGATTGTTTTGATCCTTTCTTAGCAAGATTATTTCATTTCTACGTACTTCACCATCCGAAACAGACTATTTTCCTCCTTGCAATCTGCAGAGTCTCGTCAATTTGAGATGATTTGTCTCTTGACTGTACTTAGGAATTTTCGAAATACTTTATTAACTGATTATGTTCTCCGTGAAATCTTGTGTGTGTGGGGGGGGGGTTGTTATGTAGACCACGATTTAATAAATTTGTAAAAAATATCCCCAAGGCCAATACTAGTCTGCCCCCCCCCCCCCCCCCCACCAATTCGACATTCATTATATTTGCTAACCGACGTAACAAATTTGCTCCACTTATTCACTAGTTCATATCAAAGTGCTTTCGCCCCTCTTGTCGATCCAAGTTTCCCCTCTATCCACTGGCTTTTAAAATGAAAACATTTTGCAGACTTCAAAGCATTCCGGTTGTCACAAACCAATTAGTAAAACTACTGCTTTGACTAACGTTGTTCGCAATATTATGCGAGTATATAACTGAACGATGAGACAAAATATTTCATTTCTTCAAAAGTCAAACAATTAATTAATAATCACTGCTGGAGAATGACCTTAACGCAAACAGTGAGTGGGTGATGATGAATAAGATGTTGAAAGCAAAATGTGCGGATGCCAAAGATTTTCTAAGGGAATTGAGTTATCAATGCATTACCCATACTCGGATTACAATAATTATTATGGTTGGCAATGACAGTTATAACCAAGAAATAAACGTAGTATTCGCTATCTGAAGGGAACAAAATTATAGGCAAATTTACCGGTGTCCTCATTATACGCCTTGGAAAACTTCAGACAGTCCAAACTCTCAACAAACTAACGTAGAACCAGAACAACTCTTCACCAATTTAGTGTTCGTAAACAAGTAATTTGAACACTATCAAGATGGCACTTTGCACTCTTATGCATGATACCTTTAAATACTTAGACAGCTTCAGACTTAGACAGCTTCAGACTGAGGTTGCCAGTAATGAATATTGATTATCTACGCTTTTGCAACAGCAAATAAGTGCATGCCAATTAACTCCTCTGTAATTTTTTAAGCTAACATTTGAAATGTAAAGACTTTCTTCGTCTTGACTTTCTCATGAAAAGTCATTCATCCATCTAGGTAACTTATTACAGATGAAAAAAAAACGAAATGTCTGTATAAAGGTTGATTTCATGGAAAATGTTAAATTGCTCAAATCGCATTTCCCTTCCAACACATGCATAAATTGCTGACTTCAATCATACTTCAGTGAACCTTCAGTGAACCTTCACGGTAATCAATTAGCGATTATTAGCAATAAAATCAAAAAGTTGGGCTTTCACCATCAAGTCCATTCAAAGCAAGTCCATTGAGTAAAGTTTTTAATTCAAAAGCCATTAAAAGAGAATAAACATTTATCAAACAATTGGCAAGACATATAACACATTGAATCCTGTACATATTAAATACAAATACAAAATCATTTTCAAAGGGATAAATATTTTCGAACATTCTCTGGAAGGCGCAAACCGATTTGATCAAAGTAGTGAAAGAACCTACAAAAGAAGCACATGAGCATTAAATATACAAAAAAAAGAATAAATTACCTCCGTCTGGTAGACAAGCACTGACGTTCCATTTCCGTCTTGCTGATGTCTCTTAAGGCTGGAAGATAATCGAGGGCAAACTCTTCCTGGAATAGGCTTTCGCCTGAATTCTTTTCCACACTGAATGCCTTCAAAATCGGCAAGGTGGCGGCTGCTTTGTCAGCTGCTAAAGATCTGTAAGAAAACAACGTAAATTTCCAAGATTTGAGGCAAGTAGAAATACTGACGAGATCGTCCAAGATTTCGCTCTGTAATCCTACATCTACCGCTAAATGGTGTTTAACACTGGATAGAGTTCGAACGAACTTGAGTTAGAATCTCAAAGAAACTTCAAATTCACTTATCTTGATTGACAGAAAACATGAATAACTAAATAGAGGACAAACAATTTAAAAGCAATATCCAATTTGCAAAAGATTTCTATGCTTTAAAATTAATTTACTATAAGAAAAAAATCTTTCGGGAAAAGATATAACGCAATATCAGGACAATAATTTTGTGTAATCGTTAATATCGACTTACAATAAATCCGTTTCATGTGCAGACTCGTTAATGTAACTTCCAACCCTCTCTACGGTTTCTGACTGTGCAACTGCAGGCGCAGAAATCAATTCTTCCTGAATACCTTCCAAGCGTTTCATGGTCATACAACGCAAGAGATGATCCCAATCTTCTTCACCAGCGAATGAGCCAACAGCGCCTTCTGGATCAATTCCAGAGAGCGGTGCTGAACAGGCATCTCCAAATGCAGTTAAGAGATTTATTGAAGACGAAGAGGTAATAATACTTGTAGGCAAAGCGTTGATACCACGTGTTATTTCATTACGACTGCTTTGTGCAGAGCAGATATCTAAAAGACCCCGCATCTCCGAGTATCGTGAGAGCGTAGACAACACATCCGATGAAATTTCCTTGCTCTGGGTCCATGAAACATCCACCTGGTTTAAGTTTTCCTGTTAATTAAGATAGAAGAGGCGATTACAATAGGATATAAAAATATGAGCTTAGAGTTTAAATGTGAAATAGCGTATGGAGAAAGAATACTCTAACCACTTTCTCTACAGCAAGTGTCTTGTCTGCCTCATTATCGGAGTCAAAGATTTCCCCGAAGTCATCAATTTTCGGTTTCTCAACACTTTTGACAGTTATCCCATAAGATTTGAAACCCCAAGAGAGACTGAATAGGCGTGAAAGGACAGCGCCGCATTCAGTCAGGAGGTCTTTTCTACAAAAATCGATGTTTCCATTCTAAAATTTTAATAGAGAAACGTTTTAGTGATGATTATTTGCAAATAGAATTCCCCAGTTTGAAACATGCCTACCAGGTCTGACACTTGAGATTTCGAGCCAAAAAGCCACTGTAGACGGACAATCAACCGGCGAATGTCGGAAAATTCTCGACTGGAGAAAAGTTGCCTGGCTGTAGTTGAGATTCGAATCGGCATATCACAGTTACGAATTCCGGGATCAAATTTAGTTAAACTTTCCATTAACGAATTATTCAACTGAATCTCCCGGGAATCACAGATCCGCTGAAGAATTGGTTTTACTAGAGTCTAGAGGAAGGAAAGAGTTTAGTTTAAGGCATTGATGATAAATATGCAGATAGAAATGAAAAGCGAGCAATAGTGATGAACTCAGAATATATATGGAGTTGGGTCAAATAAGTGATTTTTATCCAATGAGATAGAATTAGCTACTTTAGTAAATAATTACTTGGAAATACACAATATTTGCCTAAATCCATCAACTGAGGGATCGATGTTTCGCGGAATTTTGAGCAACTTGCTAAATTATGAGATAAATGCGGTTGCAACAGAAGCAAACGCTTTTCATTTATCGTCCCTGGCAATTTCTACAATGCAGAAGATAATAAAATCCCTCCGGTCCCTCCGGAAGCATTAAATTGCTCAATGCTTCTCATCGAAATAAATCATTTGAAAAATTTAGATCAATGATTCTCGTAGAGTTCTTATCACATCCACCACCACTATTCCTCATGCTTCTACATAACATGTCCTCTATCTCCTATTTTACCACTACCATGGTGATTTCTATTACAACTCCGGTTCTGACAGGCAATAATGATTAGAAATTGAAACAATCATTCAGAGAAAGAGCCGAAAATGGTGAACCTAAAACACTCACCAGAATACCTCGAGCCTAGAGTCAACACAGCATGGCTTGTCCCAGAATCAACTGCGTTTAAACAACATGGAGTCTGAAACTCCTGTCTACTTGAGCACCAGAAACCTGTAATGCCATTCTCACACTGTTGAAGAAGGCATCTAAGCACGCACTGGTTTTCTTAAGCAAGCCTAAACAGTTATGACACATGCCTACCACGGTGCCTTTTTTTCTGTCCTAAACACGCCAGGCACTAGTGGAGAGTAAATGAGAAAACAATAGAAGAACTCGATATTGCCAAAGTTTTTTTGCTCCAACTCAAATGGAAGAACCAATAATTAACTACCACTAATGAGTATTTTTTAAAATGTGCTAGAGCAAGGTCATTGTTCTGCGGAATTTTTTGTAGTATGTTGCCAATATTCGTTAGATTCATTGCAATTATCCAGTTCTAACAATTGCAGGCTAATTTGGAAGCCAAATAGGGTTATGCCGCGTGGTAGAGCAATAGGATTAGAGGCCGCCACTACTACGTAGAAGTTGATAAATTGGGCTTCTTTACCGTTTCAAACTTCCACCAAGACAGACTTGGATTGCCTTCTACTAACCAGATGGTGGGCAAAAATAATTTGGATCTAGAAATGCGGGTTAAAGAGGCTACAAGATCAGCGACCATTCAATAAACTACTGGTTAAAAAATGGAGGGTGGGCAAGTGTCTGTTAAGAGGAGCCTCAAAATTGAGAATTCCTCTCTATTGATTATCAATTTATTTAACTTCCACTAACTCTAAAGTATCTTGTACTAAGAAATCGGGGGGGGGGGGGGGGGGGGGGGGGNCGGAAAGCCATCATTGTAATTCTCGAGCCCATTTAGGATGGCATTTTCCAATGGGTGGGCATTATTAAGTCATCCAGGTGAGAAAAATATTTCTCCTAGTGCCCTTATCAACCAAAATCAATCAAGCAGGTAGGACATTCCTCTAACCTAGAAAAATGAACACAGCGAGGTATGATTTCTCCGGTACTCAAAAGAAGTATATGACAGAAAAAAATAGAAAATGAATGCAAATGCACCCTCAAAAAACTGGCACCCAGTGTGACTGAATACTAAATAGCCTTCAAATCAATGACTAAATCAATTTAGTGTCCTGCTATTTATCAAACCGCAAAAATTAAAAGGACGAAAATATACTAATAGAGGAGTAGTACCTCAAATCTGAAATCTTAATTTACAACAATAAACAACATAGTAATGGATAAGCAAATGCATATCGAGGTCATGCTATTTGTAGCTGCTCACTACACTCATCAAATAGATCCTATGAAATCGTTCTACTTACTGATGCCTGAAGAGGCTTTAATCGACAGGTTTGAAAAGGGACTGGGATTTCACGAATAACAGTGGGATCAGAAGCTGTGAAAATGATTGGTCTACGGCCCATTTGAAGGAGTTTACCAACTGCTCCCCAAAATCCCTTGTCTGAATCAAAGCGCACATCGACTTCATCGAAAAGAATTAGGGATTTGTTGTTAAGCTTGAGTCCTTCTCCACTCGTTCCAGGAGATTCGATCATCTCAATTGTTGATGACGCAGTAGACTTCGAAGCTGGTTCCCGCTTTCGGGGTTGAAAGAATGTAGACAAGCTTGACTTTTGTGAACGCCGAGATCGATTAACAATAGCTGTAAAGGAAACAAATACTTTGGGGAGGAAAAGGCATCCTTGTAGGTGATAACCGATAACTAATATTAAGTAGGCTGATAGCATTATATATCCTAAAGTAGATTAACGGTATTAACAGTAGCGTAAATCGGGAATTCAATGAAAATGAGCTTATTTAGGCAATGAATCAAGAATTCAGTTAATCTCTACTTATTAGAACAATAGGTTCTTGGCAATTTTAACACGATGACCCACCATACAGAAACCAATTTCATGTGACTAAAAAGTAAACAATGCATCCCAAAAATTCTGAAGAAATACAAATAAATCACCAACCAGTAAGAGTTCAAAACCCATGAGCTCATATTCAGCGAATCTTAAGTCATAATCAGCAAAGAAAAAGGATTGTTACAATGTAACGGCTCTAATTACTGCTTATAATAACTGCATAATAAGGCAGGAACCAACAACAGAGTAATAAAGTCCATATCATTTAAATGGGATTTACAACTTAAAAGGCGTAAAGCTATAAGCATTAGGGAATGGGCTCACGTTTGGACAAACTGTTCATTGTGGACGAAGCTGAGAGTCCTTCCGTAGAAACATGTTGAGAAATCATGACTCTAGAACATTGTGCTGTAACTTCTTTTCCCGATCGACAATTCGAAGGGTTCAGCTCAAAAACCTAAAAGGGAAATAGAAAGTGAGGAGAAATATCCAACAAAAAGGGCTTTTATAGATTCACACTACTTTAAATCCAAACTGGGAGGCAAGAGTGTAGACCAAACAAGTTTTTCCACAGCCAGTTGGTCCCAAAATGAGGAAAGCTGATCGACGCCAAGAAGACAAAGTATCCGATGCCGAGGAGTCACAGCTATCCTCACTGAATGAATAATCGTTAGAGTGGCCTTTTTTACCGGATGGCGATATTTTATCACAAAATGAATTAGATCTAGCTTCCCACATTTTCATCCAGGAAAGTAGAGATGGTAAATCCGATGAATTCAAAACCATTTCCGTAAAGTCGGAGGGTGGATACTGATCTGTCCAAATCTTCTGTTCAAATGGAATTGCAACATGTGATGAAGCCTCGGAACATTCCGAATGAACCTTTAGGGGATTGGATTGAGGCTTTGCCGTCTGCTCTTCGACTTTAGGGGAATCAGACGACTTTGATTTTGGTGGTCTGCCTCGTCTTTTCTTTTCTTCTGAATTTGTCACTTTAGTACGACCACAAGATCGTGAAGAAATATCGCTTGTCGATTCCGAAAATCCGGACTCTTTCGTACTAAGCAGACTCTTCTGCCTTTTCACCTGACTGTTGGGAGATTCGTCATTACCAGAATGATAGCGTTTACGGCCTTTAGGGATTAACTTAGACTTCCGTGAAGAATTATCTTCATCAGGCACATTTGATTCGTCTAAGAATTCCGGCATAGTCTGGTCTCTTGAGTTAATATGAACAGAGGTACGATGAGGCTTGAAATTATCCAGCGATTTTGCCTTTTCGTTTGATGCTTCGATGCACTTATCGGTAGATTCGTCGCAACTTTGCGACTGGCTTTCATTATCATCCTTTGCAGCTTTAACAGTAAAATTAAATACATCCAATGTGTTGTCCCCTTCTCCAATGTTCGATCTGCGCTTCATTAGATTGCGATAGGGTAAAGAATTAGAAGGTTTGTGTCGTCTTAAAGAAAAGATCCTGGTCTTGCAATTATCCTTTAAAAAATATGACGAAACGGTATTTAGATTAGAAGCACATTTTCTTTTCATAATTAACTGAGAAGACATACATGTAAGTAGGGCTAGAAAAAATGATCAAACATTAAGTTTGGCGCTAAGGACAGAATAATCCTAATAAGACCAAGAAAACAAATATTATATAGAAGATCTAACAAAAAACTTATTCAAAAAATTTTGGGCGAAAATTGAAATTAGATTAAGTCAATTAGATATAATAATTTTTTAATACAGAGACAGAATATCTTTTCAAAATTTCTTAGTTTAGGCTTGAATTTATACAGTAAAAAATTAATTTTGCATTGTAACTTTATTTTTTAAAATAAATTTATATGCATTCCATTATCTTACATGAATAATTATTTTAAGCAATTATTCCTTACTCTTTTATATAGAATCTTTTCAAACATTTGATTTTACAAATGCCACTTCATTTCACGGAAATATTTTGCTGCTCGTTGCTTTAAATATAATTGTAGTATTTGTCACAGAACACATTCTGATCCATCTTGATTTGAAAGTCTTCTCAAAAATAAATTACAAAATTAGAATCGCTCATCTTTCAACAAATAAATTTCACTAAGCAGAATTTATACACTTTTAATAGAGTGAAACACAGTCAGCAAAGAAATCTTTCCATCAAAATCATCTTTGCTTTGCTTTGATTCGGAGGGAAAGATTATCAGCTACGTCAGAATTTAAAAACTAAGGATGCTCTTTCGACACTATATCTTGTCTGTTTTAATTCGTGGCTCATCGTTAGTTTCCTATAGAATTAAGATTTTAATGCTTTGAATCTTCCAAGTGGTCACTTTTCAACTAGATTATCAGGTAGCCTAAGCTGTAAGCTTCCAACGCCTCTCAGTAATTATATCGTTTAGATAATTAGTAATTGTGCTTTGTTTTAGCTAGCTTTTCTGAATTACGCCCATTTATTAGAAGGATTTAAAATTTTCCTGTTTATTTTGACCTTCTTGAGAAATCAAAATCGATAATTTTACGTATAACACATGACTTATACCAAACTTAATCTATAGAGTCAACAAATTGGGACGAAATGAAACAAATTGGCATTAAGATGATTTCATAGAAATTTAAAAAGGCAGATTATAATAACGTATTTTTCCATTTTCCTGTTTTTTAAGAAATTTTTATTTAAATTTCGAATTCTTAAAAACAGACACCATTATATACAAGGGTGTTTCGCTGTGTATTTCTCCGCTTCTATTCAAGTACACAACGTAAAATCCAAAATTACATTCAAATCAAAAGGCTTCTTCTGTGATCAATGCTACCAAATATATCCTGACATATTCCCTGGTGTAAAATTGCTCCAAAACTTATTTAAGTTGCCACAACAATGTCGAGAAAATAGTTTATATGTTATTTATGGCGTTTATAAATGCTAATTGGCCACTGATAAAGCATAGTCATTAAAGTGCACTTGGATTTACGAGAACAATGCAGTAACTATTGATGGGCAGATTGCTGAGAGTTCTTAATAATCAGAGTCAAACTTGTTCACAACGTTTCCAGTAACATGGCTACACCGTCCAGTTTGTTCGAGAGCGCATGAGATTTCATTATTCATCTTCAGTACCCCTGTATACTTAAAATTTAATTATTATTTGAAGATTAAAGCGAATTACTTTCCATCAGGTCGAGCTAATTTCAAGAATTCTTAGTTGTTATTCTAAGTCATAAATATCGGAATGTTAATTGGGTATCTAGTTGAAAATGTTAGAAGGTTGATTATCTAACGAGGAAGAAACGAAAATTATTTCTAAATTGGTTCATAATGAAGACTCTCAATAACTTCTTTCATGCCAAGAATCAGATCTTGCTTACTTATTAATTTTGTGAGTTCCTTTTATATTCTCAAAATTTCTGCATTCCTCCTAGTAATGGACCAACTTATTTTCCAACTTTAAATTAGCCTGAAATGGCTACGATACCCTCTGCATATAGTTCAATGAGAAGAGATTTTTCTCCTTTTCTCCTTGAAGAAATAAACATTCAAATGAGTTTTCAATTAGTTAAGGACACTTTGTGGGATTGATAACAGTCTTACTACATTCTTTTGAATTTATCATTTGAATCACGTTTTGTAGAACCATGCAGTAACCCAGTTTGCAGCAGATGCTACGTAAATGGGCCTTGGCTAGACCCTGTCAATCAATTTTGGCAAAAAACTCCTAGTATGTGTTGCTCCCTAAATTAGCAAATGTGAAACAGAGCATATGACATAAAATGTATTAAGCATATGTTTTGACAAACTGCACTTATGATTGACCATTTATAATATAGAGATCATTCTACGTTGCATAAAATGGGTGGGTGATGAGCTGAGAGCTTTCCACACACACACTGGGGCGAATTGCAGAATGACGTAGTGGTGAGCATTCCACAAGTTCGACCCAAAAGGCTCCATTGTGGTCCTAAGGTATAATCGAAAGGACGTTTATATGATACTCTCAAATTTACTGGACCGTTTGAACTGATATTAGAGATGTATAGGGGGAATTCATATTTCAAATCGTATCATATTACTAGCATAATACTTAATGTTAAATAAACATAGAAAGGAAATTTTTCGAATGTAATCTAATGTAATAGGATATGGTATTTAATATGTATAAAAGGTACCCACAGCAGTTTGGAAAAAGAACCCATGAATATGCGAGTCTTGACAACCATTGCGATTGAGTATCCCTGCATTCTTGTTAGCACTGAATGCAATACAAATGTTTATTAGAATGAGGCGAATGATTAATGCTTGCATCATTTCCCCAACTATCCACATACACCTAATTTACCACAACAGCCACAGTGCCCACCCTGTCTATATCTAAAATACGATAATAAAAGCATGGAAGAACGTGAAGGGATTGTTCTGCTTGCGATTGTGATAAGATTTCAGCTATTGTTCAAAGCTTCTGTCCTTTGTCAAATATTACACTTGCATAAGCTAACTTCCTCCTTAACAAAGATCTAGGATGTGTGAATTACACTATCAAATCACAATAAATCCGCCCCAACTCCACGAGAGTACGAATAACGATTTATTGAGTGCATTATGAAGACCGTGCCAAGTGCGAATGGGAAGATCTCACAAACGGATGCTGATATTACCCGAGGCATCATTGTCAATATTAGCGATATTCCAGCCTACTTGGAAGAGCTGAAACCCTCTGTGCTGAAAGCACTTTTCGTTAAAATGGCCCTTCTTTGTGAGCTGGTTCCCAAACCTGAGAATTAAATTTAATTGTATTTGATCTCTTCATCAATTGATACACCATAATGCACACCGGAGCTGCTCAGAATTTTCTTTCTTCTCTCATTGGTACCACGATTGACTTACTAATAGAGTTTTTTCTCAGATTGTAATAGGGAAACAGATTCGACTAGTTCGTTTGAATGACATTTACGAAGAATTTACTGATAGTCTCATAGATATTGATAGAGTAATACTTCGTCTCGAAGTTAATTTTGTGTTCTTGATGGAAAAAATTTTGATAGTGGTGAGTTTGAAAAAGAATTTTATCTAGCTTCCTTCTGAAGTTACTGCTATCTTTACCTCCTTGTTCTTCCGTCCTCCAATAGACTTGCATCCTATTTACCTTACGTTGTTTGGTAAAGTTAGGACTTTTGAACCACCCTTACTGACGCATTCCCCTTCGCCTGTCAATTTCCGCTATTCGATTCACATCCACGAATGCGAGCAAGCCCTCACCCTCCCCCCCCCCATGCTCTCTAAACAGGGATTGGAGGCCACCTGTCTACAAGGACATTTTCAAATGTTCTCAAGTTCCAGTGACTTCTAATAAAAAGCTCTGTTGGTAGACTTAGTAGATTGACCAATCATAGGAGGTGTGAGGCTCAAGGATGTAAGAAGTAGGTTCATAACCCTACTGGAAGCACATGTCTTGCATGTAAAGTGGTCCAATGGAATAGCCTAAATGAGAGCCATCTCTCATATTTACTTGCCTTATCTATATAACGTATCCTAGTGAATACCAAGTTGGATCATGCATCCTACAGACGGAAACGCGTGCATGTGAGTACAGCTGTGCGCAAATGTTATCTAGGCGAAGCAAAGCATAACTAATGACTACTGAGAAGCGATGCTGCTTGCAGAAACGGTTAACAAAGAAAGTGTGTGCTGTAAGAGATGTCATTTAGCCAAAGAAGATACCAAAGAATAGGAAAGATGGGATTAAAGGCAAAATAGGAGTCACCGTAGACTACTGCCCCTAATTCAGCTTCTGCATCCCATTCTTACTCGGGTTTTATATCACCCCCTTGAGGTGTGCTCATACCACTTTCTTAGTCTATACCCTTTAAGCTATGGTTGCCACCAGAGTAGAGGCTAAAGTTAACCCAGCCTCAAATGTGATCTTTACTTGATTAGGGAGCTTAAGCCTCCCTACTTTCGGCTTATGACTTACAGTGGACGATGTTAATATCCCTAATAATGTACTTATTTATTTCAAATGGAAGGCTTTATGTCAGTTATCATAAGCCATTTAGTTGACATCGGGATTTACAGGAGGTGGAGGAACAGAAGAGTGATTCACAGATGTAAAAGAGGCAGACACAATGGAAGAAAAGAAGATAAAGTGAGTACTGTGGAGATGATCGAATAAGGCATCCAGTCTGGCTATAAAAGTTTGAATTCAGAAGTCAACTAATGGTTTATAGACTTTTAGCCATATGAGTATACGTGGAGGTAAGTCTATCGCATACCCTCTATTAATATACTAAATTCGGGTATTTGGACTCAGAATGCTATTTCATTATCATTTTGTTATGCTGAGCTAGGAATGATTTCCATAGCCATAGCCGCAATAAGAAAGCATCCTTGAGGAATGGAAATCACTTCAAGGAGCCTAAATTCATTGTCTTAT